TCTGTTCGACCAATTGAAACCCTTCTCATTCCGAAACATGGGTAAGGCTAAACTTGATCAGAAACCAATTCATAATTGTTTTGAAATGACTCGATCTTCCATCCTAATCAGGCAGTCTGATCGAATAATCCACTGGTTAAAGGACCCACACCAGTGTATCTTATTCATATCTCGTTGAGGTAAATGGAACGTCAAAAAGAAAGCATGGAGACTAATTAAGACCCCGTTTAAATCAACCTAACCAAGTTAAACAAAAACAGTAACATGTCAAGGATTCTGAGAAACCTTTCATGCATTGCGAAATGAAGATTCTACCAAAGAAAGTTTGACACAACCTGTGAACCTCCGAAACTCATTCCTTGTTTTGTTTTGGTAGGAAAAAAACAAAAGTAGCCAGGCGGTTCGACGTGGGTGCTTTGTTCACTCACTTGAGTTGACTGCCGTATTGGTCGGTGGTTCAAGCCCCAGACTGAACGCTCGATTTTCACTTGCTATCGTCCAACCCGTGTTAGGAATCACATGTTGAAAGGTAAGACCTCGTTAATCCTTAGTTCCCACAAGTTTTGACTTCTGACGGTTGTGATTCGTAGGGGTGCGACAGCTGGTTAACGGAAAAACAGATTTTTTTTCTTAGCACAATAACTCACAAACTCATGAGTAAAATAATATTAAATTTCAGCTGCTTTATTTTAAGGGTTAGTACTAACTGAGAAAGCGGTGAACACGATAACACTAGACTAGCACCATCTATGTGTTAGGCCTGAGACTTTTCAGCCCAGGTAGTATACTAACAGATCGCTTTCGAATTCTAAACTGAATTGAGTTGTGTATCGTACACTTCAGATGTCACATATTCTCCCAAAAACATCTAGAGGCTTCATATCAGGTGATTTAGTAGGCTCCTCTAAGGGATCACGTTTGTCTGTCTACCGGTTTGGGATGACTGACTCGATTAATTTCAGCGTAGTCCTGCTGCTGATAGATACAGAAAGAAAAAATAATAAAACAAGTTAATCACAACTACAACTATTCACAAATATGTGTAGATCATGCATAGAAGTAACTTTCAGAAACAAACTGAAACAGTCCTCTCGAAACAATTTCTTTCATATAAAAATTGAATTATATAAAATAACATGACAATATGAAGTACTCAATTCATTCATAAAATTACGACTTTATGTCATGAATGAGTTAAATCTACTCACGTTATCGATGAAAGTATATAATGACATTCATTCGCTTATTTGATTAAATCCCAGCCATAAGGTACCTTGTTGAAATTGAAAGGGATATATTTTTAGGAGAATCTGATTTTTGGAAAAAAGTTTTGGCCAACTTTATACAAAAAATTGGAAATCTCTCAAAGAAAGAAAGAAAGCAATTCATTTCAATATACACTCTTCATAAAGATGTTTAGATCATGCAAAGTTCAATTCATTCATAAAATTACGACTTTATGTCATGAATAAGTTAAATCTACTCATGTTATCGATGAAAGTACACAAAGATGTTTAGATCATGCCCAAAGAAGTAACTTTTAGACACAAAGTGAAAGAAAACAGTTCTCTCGAAACAATTACTTTTATAAAAAAAATTCAACTATATAAAATAACATCACAAAATGAGGCAATCAATTCATTCATAATGACATTCATTCGTTTATTTGATTTAGGCCCAGTCATAGGAATTTTGTTTAAATTGAGACGAATATATTTTCAGGAGAGATCAATTTTTGGGAAAGAAAGGTGTTAGCTTTCTACTTCTTCATCTTTATACAAAACAAATGTGAAAATCTTCCAAAGAAAGGAAGAAAGCATGGCTGACATCCAGTATTTCGGAATGAGACACTCGCCTTATTGTCTCTTCAGCAACAATCTGGATAACATCACAAGATGAAATATACTATTACTGGAGTGCCGAGGTGTTGAAATAACGGTTTGGTGTTGGGAAAAAACTCCAGTAATATTCATTACTACACCAAAGGTTCCAAACAGTGCATCACAAATATGAAATACTACTCATGTCATCGATAACAGTAGATACGTTATGACATGCATTCGCTCATTTGATTCAATCCCAGCTATAGGAAACTTATTTTAATTGAAAGGGGTATATTTTCAGGAGAGATTAATTTTTGGGAAAGGAGGGTTTTGGCATTCTATACCATTGACGACGACAGTGTTTCATGTAAGTGAAATTTTATCTCTTTCATATGCTATAATGTGCAACAATGGTGTGAATGATATCTATTCAACTGCATTACAAATCTTTTGAAGTACAAACTGAATAGGAAAAAGTGTTTTTTGTATAATTCAAGTTGTGCATTTACCTGACTAACAATATGCCGTTGAGAAAGTTCTGAAATTCCGAATATATCCGGAGATATCCGGAAAAAACAGAAATTTCGAAAATGGTTTTTATTTTTTTCTGGCTTCATTTTTCGAAGGATTCGAAAATAAATTGCACTTTCACATTGCCACTTTTTCCCTGCTATATAATGATGTTTTCAGATTTACTATCCGACGTTTCGTCTTCCGGCCACCATCATCAACTTTATTTTTTCTTACGGGCGCTACATTGGATTCTTTCTGTTTTGAATAGAACCAGATTTTACCTTCTCGATGATGTATCATGTTTCTAAATTTGACTTTCAATTTGTTACATCCAATGTCATTTTGTTATTGTACAAGTCATTGAATTTTTGTCGAAAAATGGCTTTCACGAATGAAGAAAAAAGAGATATGATACAAATGTATTACAAATACGATAGAAACAGTGTTAGGACATCGGAAATGGATTTANCACCGAGATCCCAATGGTGAGGATTTGAATTTGAAACACCCTGTATACAGCTTATGGCTTTATGATGTCGTTAAGCGATTTTTGGTCAATTTTGCCTACGAATTCAAATTGAATCGAAGCGTTACCGAAACAGCCCGAAAAATTTGTGATAGTGTTAATGGACTCACTGTTCGACGTTGATTTGCGAACGTTCATTCTGGAGATTTCAACCTCGAAGATGAGCCCCGAAGTGGTCGACTTACAGTAATCCGGAAGGAGGAATTGAGGACTCTACCCCATCCCAAACTGGGCGTCAGCTCCCATGCGGTTTTTGATGGTTCAAAACGTATTGGAAGGGTCAAAAACCTCGAAAAGTGGATGCCCCACGATTTGAACGTTCGACAAAAATTATCACGTTTCGAGGTCTGTTCTTCGTTGCCTTTGGGCAATCCAAACGATCCTCTTTTAGATCGAATCATCACGTGTGACCATCTACGACAACAGGAGACGTTCAGGATAGTGGTTGGACACCGATGAGCCACCCAGGCACTTTCCGAAGGCGAAAACTCATCAAAAAGATCAAAGACTACCTGCTACCGGTCGAAACCATCACAGCAGGGCCATATTATGAGGAAATCAAGAAAATATACCGAAAATTGCGTCAGCAGTAGCTGGCAGAGGTTAACAGAAGTGGTCTAATCCTGCTCTAATCTCTAATCTAATCCATTCTTCTGATTAGAATTGTGACCTTCGTATGAGCATCGTTCAGGAATTATTGAATGACGTCAACGGCGATCCAGTTTATTTTGAAAGCGTCATAACTGGTGACGAATCATAGGTATATGGTTATGACATCGAAACAAAAGTCCAATCGTCCCAGTGAAAGATTCCAGGAGAGCCAAGACCAAAAAAGCACGTTAAGTTCTTGCCACATGGACGCACGGTCAATAAGGACTATTATCTTGAAGTTATGCGTCGCTAGCGAGATGTAATATGAAGAAAACGTCTGGTATTGTGGAGGAACAATTCATGGCTTTTGCATCACGATAATGTATAGTCGAAGTGAACGATATTATGCATATTTTAAAGTGACGGCACTCTCCAAAGGCCAAAAAAACCAATACAAGCCGAACTAGTCCATGTGGACTGTAAACTTGGCGATTCGTATTGGTTAATTTTTACCAACCGAGTTTTATGATTGGCTGAAGAGTCATAAAATTATTTGAAGTCATGTTACGATGACGAATAGAAATCGGGGAATGTTATCGCCGTTCGGTTCAGTTCAGGAACTGATCGCGATTTGAGTGTTGAAATTCAATATTGATGCAGTTATAATTTTTTTAAATTGCTGTTATCTGTTTAAAATGTGGCGTCCTTGAACAAGTACTAATAGTAATAATTAGTGTGATAACAACGCAGACTTTTTCCAGTGTAGTGACTCCAATAACGATGGTGAANAATTAGTTAGCTCCCTAACTATATTATTAAAGGGGAGCTGTTGGAAAGCAGGTTGCACTATATCGTTTACTTGAACTATACCTGCTCACTCGTCATTGCTGGTTCGTCATTTTTTTTTTCAAAAACTACACCGTAATTATGCTTCAGCCATTGTATCCAACCGATTTGCCTCCCTGTCTTAAGATTGAAGAGACTCATGAAACAGCGGCGTTTTGCGACGATTGAGGCGAGGATTGGAGATACGAAGGCACAAGTGTATTATATTTGAGGTGTATTACTTTGGAGGGGACAAAATACTGATTGATGAATTAATAAATATTTTTTGAGAAACATGAAAATTCACCTTATTTTTTGAACAGACCCATTATATTTTTGATTACAGGTTATTTGAATATGCGATTCGAATATTCTTACAAATGAAATGCTTTAGAGTGTTTTCTCTTTTCATTCCATAATCATCGGGAAAGTTTACCATGAAGAATGTTGTATAAGTTTCATGATTTTTGTTTTCAATCGTTCTAAAAAATCATCCAAAGGTAGCATATGTGTGATGTTCAATGCCCATTTAAGACCGATTTACTTTATCACTATTATACCAAGATCTTTAAATATAAACGAGTGGCGATAAACGTTCCATATCTCCTTGTGTGGCTAAGATAATAAATCAAATTAAAATGGTTCACATTCGCGTACACACTCAACTTATCTGATTGAAAAAGAATAGGATTTCTCCTGAATTCTTATAGTGAAACCACCTGTGAATCTTCAATGTATTAATAGATGCATTAAAGTAATTAGGTAGAAAAAATTGAGAGTTTAATGTCGGAACATGAACATAATAGCCGGTGTTTCTTGAACTTCACTTTCCGTTTCGAAGTCCCCATCGACGGCCACAAGAATAATTTCGTAATTAACGCATGCGTTGAAGTTTTCCAGTATCGTGTAATCCTCTTCTAGTTCGGGAGCCGTTTTCAAAAATTCTGGTTCGCCCTTTATTCTATATTTCACGTAGAAATGTTCACCGGGTATGTTGGTTACATCGGGTATCCACTTAATGAGTGTGTTCACAAGACAATTTGAATGTACGTGAATCCACTCTTTTGGCAGGGGACTGTGGGTTACAACTTTTCCGCTTTCTTGTTCATTCAGAATATAAAAATCGTCCGCCGAACCGTCTGATTTCGGATATTGGCTAGTTTCGTAACACTTCGCTTTCATCAGGTCATTCTTATCGGTTATGTTGAAGTCAATGTGGTATTTGAACGTTGGCATCGAAGGTTTCTGGGGTGTTTGTGTTTCTAACTCGATCTCCATAACTTTGCTGAAATTGAAAATAATATTAATCGATACTGGTAGTTACGAAGTTTCATTTTTAGTTTGGAAATTGTATACCTATTCATCTAACAAAAACAAAATAGTTTATAGGTACTTCGAACATTACATTATTTACAAACGACAAAATTTTTTGATTTACTAGTTAAACGGGTAAATATTGCAAAAAAGCTATTAATGTAACCTTTAGATATCTGCGATTTCTGCGGAAAGAGAGTTAGGAGTTATGGAATCATCGATACATATAAAAAAATTGGAGTCCTCCGCCGTATTTGTTTGTCTTATTATTCAAAAATTTGTTATTAACAATGAAATAGTTTGTCGAGAAGAATGAATATCGAGTCCAATATGACATAACAAGATCTGATATCATATATTCTTGTCCAGAAATTGAGGACTGTGTATAAAAAAAGACTTGCTGATGTTTTGGCATAAAAAGGATAGAAGGGTATCTCTATATTTCTTCTTTCTCTAGGTTGGGAGCAACAGAGTGAATCTCCAACCCCAACTGTGGTGCATTTCTTCTATTGACGTCTTTACAATTTGTCAACTCAGAATAAGTTAATATATTTTACGTGCATGCTGTAGTTGTTTTGAATATTCCTAATGGTTCTTTTCACTCAGCCTTCACATCCGGATTGACGAATAAAATTCACTACATACAGTAACCTTGATACGTACTGGGATTTATTTGGATCATTCTGATATTCATTATAGGCATTGGGTCTTTAGTTTATATTTGTCATTTGTATACATATCAATGTTTATATTTTTGTTCTCTTATCTCTGTACATCCGGTGAGGTGCAGTTATCATGAGTACATTCTTACACTTTCATTATTAAATATATTCTCAACCTCAAAATTTAATTTTTCACTATATTCTCAAATATTGATTCAGTTGTACTTACTGGTCGCTTTCTCCAGCACAATTGACAGCTCCAATTTGGACGAAGTATTTGATTCCTTCCTTCAGACCGGTTAGTTTGGCTTGAAAATTATCGGACCCAGATACGAAATATCTCACGGTAGATTTTTCATCTACTGTGTCCCCCTTCATTTCACTGCAATATACATTGTAGCCCAATAAAATTCCGTTCGCCTGAGTCGGTTTATTCCATTGCAATAACACAGAACTAGATCCAAGTTGGTAGTGTTCAAACAAAAATGGCATGTTGGGTTCTGAAATAAACAATGGATTATTGCTATTTTAAAAAGAAAGTATAAAAACACGGCCGCTCTCTAGTACCTATGCCGTTTAGATAAAATATTATATTTTCAGGTATGTAAAAAGTTGTATCACTTAAGGTTAAACTCCATTCAAGATCACTCGGAAAAATAGACCCTCACTTGGCTTTGATATTCAAATTTGGCTTCATTCATCAACGTAATCTCCATCAAGAGCCACACAATCATTTCAGCGCCGCTTTAATATTTCAACACTACTTTTGTAAAATGATTTATTTTTTGCCTCAAAATAGGTCTCAGTTTCAGCAATAACCTCTTCATTCGAGCGATTTTTTTTATCGGTGAGCATTTTTTTTGAGGTCTGCGAACAGCCAGTAGTCGCTGGGAGCCAAACCTGGCTAATACGGTGGATGTGGGAGCAATTCAAAGTTCAACTCATGTAGTTTTACCATTGTTTTGATTGACTTGTGAGACGGTGCGTTGCCTTGGTCGAATAATCTTTTTTATTTACCATATGCGGTCGTTTCTTTGCAATTTCGGTCTTCAAACGCTACATTAAACGCTATATAATAATCTCTGTTGATCAAGATAGTTGATGAATATTACACCACGAATATCCCAAAATACCGAGGCCATAACCTTTCTAGTCGACTGTTGTGCTTTCGGTAGCTTTGGACGAGGTTCACCAGTTGCTCTCCACTCAGATGACGATCGTTTTGATTCCGGAGTGAAGTGATGGATCCATGTTTCATCCATTGTCACATATGACGAAAAAATTCCGGTTTGTTATGTTTAAACATGAATATTACTGGAGTATTTTCCCAACACTAAATCGTTTTTTTTAACACCTCAACACGTGTTTCGATTGGTGTTGGGAAAAAACTCCAGTAATATTCACTACCACACCAAAGATTCCAAACAGTGCATCATAAATATGTTTGAACATGGCCAAAAACTACTCAGAATCATCAAGACGTTCTTGATTTTGGTCAACAGTGAACTCGCGCAGTACACTCTTTGAACAGAGCTTTCTCATAATCAAATGTTCATACAATATAACGCCAACACGTTCTATTGATATCTTTACAATGTCAACTAAATCACGCAACTCCACTTTTTCGATCATTCAAAACGATTTTGTGGATTTTCTGGTGCTCCTGCCTCATTTGGACGTCCACTGCGTTCTGCATCATCGGTTTTTCTACGACCACGTTTGAATTCATAAAATCAACGTTTAATTGTTGTTTCTGATGGAGCGGAGTGTTTATAACACTTTTCAAGCCATTGCTTCGCTTGAACGGTTTTTTCCATCATGAAGCAGTGTAAAATTTAAACACGAAATTGTTTTTGATAAATTGTTTTGAAAATAACAAAAGTAGCCAGGCGGTTCGACGTGGGTGCTTTGTTCACTCACTTGAGTTGACTGCCGTATTGGTCGGTGGTTCAAGCCCCAGACTGAACGCATTCTGAAGATGCTAACCTTGATAGCGAAACACGTGTCGAGTGCAAAAATATCAGTTTGGTGTTAGGGAAATTGATCTCTAGGAAAAGTTTCAACAAAAAAGTAAAATGCGAACAGCCACTATTTGAATTTCGCGCTATATCTCTTAGGTTCGGCTGCCAAACACTGGAGGCGCTAAGAAAAGTGGTTCTGTCGTCAACATTGCCGTTACCGTTCTATGTGTGGCTGTTTTGTGGTTAGTACAAACTGAAAAAGCGGCGAATACGATAACACTAGACTATCACCATCTATGTGTTAGGCCTGAGACTTTTCAGCCCAGGTAGTATACTAACAGATCGCTTTCGAATTCTAATCTGAATTGGGTTGTGTATCGTACACTTCAGATGTCACATATTCTCCCAAAAACATCTAGAGACTTCATATCAGGTGATTTAGTAGGCTCCTCTAAGGGATCACGTTTATCTGTCTACCGATTTGGGATGACTGACTCGATTAATTTCAGCGTAGTCCTGCTGCTGATAGATACAGAAAGAAAAAATAATAAAACAAGTTAATCACAACTGCAACTTGCAGATACAATCTAGGAATTAAATCGACACAGAAAAAGATATAAAAGACAACTATGCAGGACTAGACACGTAATCACTTAGGACGTCGATTTTTTTTTCACAGTTGATCGTACGACTAACAATTCTGTAAATAAATTAGTTGTTTTCAAGACATGTGACAATGACCTATAATTCATCGATAGTAGATTTTATCGGTTTCTGCTCATATTTATACTCGAACCATCGTACAGAAGTAAACACTCTGTACGGTGCTCGAACCTTGAGTCCACTGATTTTGGCTCCTGGTGAGTTTGAAAGATGTGAGTTTTTTTTTCCAAATGGATAATCTTCTTTCAAGGGCAGATTTTTAGTGATTTTTTTTCTGTCTCGACTGAATCTATTCTAACTGTTTTGCTCGTTGTTGATGTGAGATACAGTATTTTGTGTAGCATTGCTTGGACTATGGAAAATATTTATTGCTGAATACTACTTCCTTCAGTTACTCCTGGACTCCTGGACGTATAAAATAAAGTCTGTAAACTGATCGATGAAAGTCGCAACTCCGATTTGGACACGGTAATCTGTTCTTGATATTTCCATAAAAATTTGTCATTGAAATTTGAATCATTTATGGCTTTGGAATGTGATATTCAGATTATCCATACGATTTATTATCCTTTTTCAAGACGGTTGTAATATGTATCTTTACAGAACATTCTATACTTTACTGAAAGTTTTGTAATGAGGTAGTTTCTGTAAGAACAAATGGATGTGTTCTTTATTACCTATTCAGAAAAATATGTGCAAATCAAATAACTTATTTTTTTCTTTTTGCTTTGCAAAACACTTAATTTATAATTTTGATCTTCAAACTAGAACAGTAAATTTATAATTACCATTTATCAATCAGATTAGTGTGCTGTTCGAGTAAGAGGGAGGTGTCAGAAGTATCTATTTTTGACGACGATTAAGTGAGTACTTATCCCTTTTGGGAAAAAACTACCATTTTTTCATTAGCCTAAGTAACAATATCTTAGAAAGTGAGAAACTCTTCAAACAATAAATAACCTACAAAAAAGAGAATACTCGTACATGGAGCGGTCACTCATCATCCTATACTCTGTTTTCTCATGTTCCCTCCTATTTATTTATGTATCATCCAGTTGTCATCACTTTGAAATATATTTGAGAACACATGTTATTGGAAGTAAAATTCACTACTTTATTTAAACAGCTTCTCTGAGACAACGAGGGTGCTCCAGCTGTTGACATATTGCGTTGTACCCCACTGAAAAAATGAGTTATCCTCCAAAACAGTTGAATATTCAATGAGGTTGTGTAATTCAAACCAGAGATTTCGGGAGTGGTTTCACAGTGTAACTGTGTAAAAGGGGTCCCTGGACGGTCCATAATATTGTCAATGTGATTGGTGATTTCGATTGATAGTTGTTTCAATGTTGTTTCAATCATTCTGTCAAACTCATTCAGTGAGAGTATTTCAAAGGAGCGTGACATGTTTTTTTTATTAAAATGATTTCGAATACTGATTTGGGCCTTCAAGCCTTAACTTTGGTTGTCTGCAATCAGAAGAAAGAAAAGAAGAGGAGAAGACGCTGGTCCAAAGAATGGTACAAACTGAGAAGTCGTTTTACCCACGAACATTTATTAAACCTTCTGCTAGATACGGAACCAGACGACTAAAAAACTTTTCTAAGAATAGACCAGGAAAGTTTTGATAATTCACTTCAGTTAATTCAGCCAAAAATAGAAAAAAGGACACTTTAATGCGTGAAGCAATCCCTGCCAGTCAAATACTTTCCATAACATTAAGATACCTAGCTTCTGGAACGGATTTGGAAGATTTGAAATTTATGTGTGCCATTGCCCCTCAGACTTTGGAAAATATTATTATGGAAACCTGCGAGGCACAAATCGAGGCAATGAAAGGTAATGCTTCTTTTATTTTTATTTAAGTAATCCTTTGATTTCACTTTCCATAACTCAGGATAGTCACGATACAAACTAATCAAAAGGGTTACAAAATCTCGTTCACCGACGGACTCGCCTTCCTTGCAGCTCGATACATTCGTCATCTTTGGTATCTTGAAGTACCACTGGCAGAACTATTGACAATATTTCTCATTTACACTATCAATCTACGCGGCCAATGGCGGCAGGCAATGGCCGCGTAGGCAATCAAATTTTATATCAATTTCCGTCCATCGATTGACAACCGCGTCAATTGCCTCCTACACGATCATTTGTGTGCTTCAATGAGCATCATTGACAATATTATTGACTGTCTAGGGACCCTTTTAACAGGAGTCACCTGTTTATCTGGTGTTTCGCAAAAAGGTCGTCAATAATTGGTCGCGCAAACAATGAAACACTCGTTTCGAACATATATTCTCAGTTTTAGCTGTTCAGCATATTTGGTTTATTGGTGAGAGGCATAAGAGTTAGAAGTGCTTTGCGTGTTTGGACTTGCATTGAATTTTGTGTAAAGAATGGAATTAAGTGCTCAAAAACACTCGAAATGTTGACAGTGGCATACGGTGATTGTGCTCTGAGTCAGAAAAATGTTTACAAGTGGTACAAGCTATTCACAGAAGGTCGAGAAGATGTGAATGACGATGCTCGCCATGGATGCCTCCGGCACATCAACAAACGATGAAAATGTTGGAAAAGTGAAGAAAATTGTTAGGGATTATCGTCAAATAACTATTAGAGGAGTTGGTGAGGATATCGGCATATCGGTTGGCTCACTCCATGCAATTTTTTCGGAAATGTCGGGCATGAAGCGTGTGTCAGCGAAGTTGGTTCCAAAATTGCTGAATTTTGACCAAAAAAACCGTCGCATGAGCATCGTTCAGGAATTGTTGCATGGCGTCAATATGGTTATGACATCGAAACCATAATCCAATCGTCCCAATAAAAGAGCCAAGACTAAAAAAAGCACGCCAAGTTCGATCAAATGTCAAGATTTTGCTCACTGTTTTCTTCGATTACCGTGGCAAAGTGCATCAGAAGTTCTTGCCACATTGGTCGAACTGTCAATAAGGACTATTATCTTGATGTTATGCGCTGCTTGCAAGAAGCAATCCAAAGAAAACATCCGGTATTGTAGACACGGAGTAAAGACACGCCCGAAGAAGCCATTGCATGGACAAATACGTGTTGCGTTTTTGTAAAAGTGTTTAGTGAAAATCTAACAATAAAGTGTTTTTTAATACATAGTTATGAGGTTTCATCAGGTGTCGGCCAATTCCATCATATATCTTGAAACAATTCATGACTTTTGCATTACGATAATGCACCTGGTCACTCGTCATTGCGTGCTCGTATTTTTTTTTACCAAAAACAACACCGCAATCATGCCTCGCCTCAGCCACCTGAGGTGGGTTAAAGGGCACGACAGGAGTAAAAATAATCGCATTGCCGACTCTTTAGCCAAGGAAGTGGCTGGACTAAGAATTTTAGGACCCAGTGGCACCTACGGCCTGATGACTTCGATAATTGCGGAACTAGCCAAACGGCACACCCATGGTCAATCCCTAAAGAGATGGGATGAAATTAAAGAATGCAATCTTGAAAGGATCACCCTGGGAAGCTGGCGCCAGGAAAAATCTACGCTTAACAGTAGAATTTCTGACTGGCCATTGTCAACTTAGGAAACACCTCCATAATATGGGGTTACTGGACGCACCTCTATGCAGGATGTGTGGAAAGGAAGATGAAACTGTCAGCTTGTCCTATGTGAACTGTGACTGACCTGTCCACCTTCCTGGAAAGGATAGGATGGACGATGAGCTGGGAGGACAACTCGTCGGGAAGATGTACAATGGGTCACATGTGGCCTAAATGCTGTAGGCCTACACTCACCCTCCCAAATCTACAGATGCCTCAGCCACTGTATTTGGCCCTCTGCGACTTTTGATGTGAAACATCTATAGCCACACGTGAAAACGATTGCTGGCGAGGCGACTCATGCCGTGACGACGGTTTTCCATGCGCAAGCGATTGTAGGATTATCTTCCCACTGGTTCGGCGTTACACTATATCTTTTGCCATACTGATACCTATAGTGTATACAGTTGTGTTTACTACAGTATACATAACCTGTGTTTAACATTGAAACAACCTAAAATTTGAGCATTGACGCATTCATCAGAAATCACTATTAGTACAGAGATCAAACAAATAAAACGGAAAGCAGAAGTAAATACTGGCAAATAACTGGTCATTAATTAATAAGTTCGCAACTAATTTAAAGTCTATTGAAACTCATAGCATTAAATGAAACTCCAGTTTACAAAAATTTGTGTTGCTGTTGTATAGCTTACCTGTTTGAGGCGCATCAAAACTAATAGTGTTACTTCTTGGCCCAACGTACTTGTCGTTTCTGACAGCAACAGTCATGAAATTCTTGGAGTAAGGAAAGAATTGTACTGACGTTTTTGTTATGTCCGGAGGAATTGCATACACTTGACTCAAAGCATGATTCCAAACTCTCAACAAGTAACCTTTGAAAGTACCTCTAACAGATTCGGGTTCTATTGAGTCCCACTGTACAACCACGTCTTTGTCTTCAAAGTTGAGTAGTGTTAAATTTCCAGGGGGTTCCATAGGAATTAGTTCTCCTGGAAGTATTTAGCAATATAAATGTATTAATTTTAACTATCTCATTAACGAAAAATGAATAAACTAATAAATCAATTAGAGCTACATACTTGCTTACAAAAAAGTTACTTACGATCAGCAAAACTTTTCGCCAAAAACAAAAGTGAACACAACACGGTACTCCACATTCTTACAAATGGAATGACAGCAATCCAGAAAACTACTAATACCAGGCAATCTTGTGTAGACATCAGTTTATTTCATAATTAACAATTTCCTCAATTTTTATTATTTAATTTGGAAATCATTTCTGAAGTGTGTGGTTACTGGATGTAGTCATGTCGTTCATTCAGTAAATTATTTTACTACACCATAGTTACGTAGGTAGTTAGTATAGGTCACTCTTTTATTTTGAAATATTTCAAACGTTTGTGGTTTGAGGCGCATGTTGAAGCTTTTCTTTGATTAATCAAGCATATTAACGATCTGGACTTTTTGCTGATTTAATTCATTCTGAGCACTCTTGGATTGATGTAACTTTTTTACAGACTGTTTGTTCAATGGATTCGCTAAATTTCAATATACAGTGTGTCACTTTTTAGGTAACCATACCAGAAACGGTATCAATACCGGACGATATCAATAAATGTTTCCTATGTTTTATGTTTCAATGAAATAATCAAGGGTTACCTATATCCCGTGGACCAAATTTAATCAGTTAAAATATGTGCAAATCCATAAATTTTTAAATGTTAAATGACTTGTGCGTTGAGCAAATAATTTTATAAAATCTAGAAACTGTGGGTCGAGGTGTTCTATTCAATTATACAGATATCATGCACGAATTTTGATCAATGGAGCTTGGTTTTCGAGGAATATGTTGAGATTATTACCAGAAAAGGAAACAATGATATAGGAGAAAGTGTTGCAAATCCGCCACTGTGAACAATACCGCCACCCGTTGCTTTTGGTTCCAAATTACGAGTTATATGCAAGTCTATAGCGCTGTACCACGGCCGACTTAGAAAGCTTCGGCAAATACCGCCATTTCACCTGTTGTGTTCAAATAGTATATAACTTGCACGTAGATGTTATGAAAGCAGAATAATGTACTTTCAAATATACATTTTGTGTTGGAAAACAAATTACTGATACATTTGAGTACTAGCACTAAAGATGCAGGTCAAATTGAAGCCACAAAAATTAACTTTCTCTAAAGGTGGTGCCATTACCCCACTCTTCCCCAAACTCCAAGAACTTATTCGAATAACATTCAGTAAAAATTGCATACTGAACAGTTTACAAAACCGCAACACGTGTTTCACTATACAAAAATTCGTTCAGGTGTGTTTTACACGCCTGTGGAATAAATATAATATAAATATCTAACAATTAAAGTGTTAACTTGAATACATTATGGATTTTTATCAAGGATCGTCCATTTCCATCAAATATTCAAAAATCAAATTTTTAGGGTTTATGTGAAATATGGGCACCAACTCATTTTCATTTTAATCGATTAAAACATGTCTGCCTAAATGCTGCCTAATCTTTAACTGTTTTTACTTGTGTATTGTCAGGACTCAGGATAGAATTACTTGATGTTTATAATACTCAGGACATGAAAGGAAATATCAAGTATAGTCTATATAGTCAAACCCAAAGACTTATTTTAAATATTTACACTTGCTTGAAAAGTGAAATACTTGGGCCCTCACAAAGAGAACTTTTAAAAAAGATTTGTGAGCTGACCAAACCTGATACTACAATTTATATTGTTAAAACAGGAGATGTCATTGATCATTCCGTGAATCAGAAGCTTAAAAAGGTTGAAAATGCCGACAAAGATGTTACACGCCGAATTGTATATAAGTTTTACGAAGAAAACAAGGTTCTAACTCTAGAAATGATTCGTAAAGAGTTAAGGGACTATCCCGATTATGAATATAAATATTTGGACACACTGTCTAATATTCTACTTGTCTGTGTCTTAAAGTACAGAACAATAAAAAAAAATGGTTATAATGGAGTCATCTCGCATCGTATATAGCATGGCGATAGCAGTATTTACGAAAAATTAAGGAATGCTGCCAATCAAAAAAAAAAGAAATAGTAAACCTTGATGAAACTTGGTTCGACACAAATGATGTTAAATATTGTTGGGTGGATAACGGTAAAAGTGCTGTCTAAATGGATATTGCATTCGCGGTAAACGGGTTATCATTCTTCACGCAGGCAGTAATAAGGGTTTTGTACCTGATGCTCTTCTATTGTCGGCTAAAAATATATAACAATCATCTGCTGACTACCATGAAGATATGACCGCCAGTCTTTTTGAAAAGTGGTTCAATGAACAACTGCTGCCAAATCTTTCCCGAAATTAAGTTATTGTTATGGACAATGCGGAATATCATTCCCGTCTACATAGCAAAATTTCCGCTAGTAGTACAAATAAAGAAGACATTCTTAAATTCATGGAAAGTGAAAATATGGAAATTCCGAAAAAGGCTACGAAAAAAATGTTATTGGAAGCTGTGAATAAAGAAAACAATAATAAAGAATATGTAATCGACAAGATACAATTAAATTGGATACTTTTTTACAATGTATATATTAGAGTATCTGTCAAATTCTTATGAAAATTGATACAATTATCGTATTTAATATAGATAAATTTTGTACACTAAGTGATTTGGATGAATCGTTTAAAAGTTATCACGATAAGACTTGATTCAACGCAGTGAACCATTACGCGTCGCGTCTACTGTAAGATGGCGGGGGATGATGTGAAGGGGTAGAGGGGCGGTCTAAGCAATGAAGCGCAATCGCCGAGAACGCGACCCGAACGTGTATAGACGTCGCGTCGTTGACGGTTGTATTAGTTCTGCGAATTTCTTCATAGGTAACATAATTTGATTCTCGAAGCTATTCATTACTAAGTGCAGTGGGCATATTTTTTCAGTTACTGTATTCTCAAAGTAAACATATAAATTACTAGCTGTTGCGCGCCATCATATTAACGTACAGCTCAAGCAACTGAACTTAGAATCTTGAAATATGCAGGTAGGTTTTTTGTATAGCGTAAATAAGCATCAAGAAAAGGAATCAGGAATGTCCATCTGTAAGGGGACAAAATAGAGGTTCAAAGATTGTATTGAATTTTGTCAGTTTTGAAGTTGAAAACCTGAAGTTTTGGGAGAATATATACATGTACAGATGCTGATCAGTTACACTTTTATCACATTGATGTTTTTCATTCAGATTCAGCCTCCATTCATTCCGCCAAATACGAATCAGCAACCTGGTTATCTCCAGCCGCAAGGGCCTCATGAGTCTGGACAACTGCAACAGGCAGCCTCTCGCCCCGAAGCGGACTTTCTGCGACCAGCCAATGATCCACGGAACTCCAGGGCTCAGTATGAACCGGTACTTCAGCCTTTTGTGCCTCAGTTACCTGCACAACCAGGAGGCAGTAATTGGATTTCTCCCCAATACAATCAAATGCTCCCGCAGGTTCCTCAATACGTAGGTGAGTGACACAAAAACCAGATTAAGGCTTTTTTAAGTAGGTATATGATTCACCGAGACGGAACTAGTCATGCGAAAGGAACATATAACAGCCGCAACGATCAGCTCTGGCAATTAATCTCACTGCTCCCCCAGAAACAAACTCCGTACCGCAAGTGGGACTTCAATAGTGCAAAGTTTGCTTTTCTAGCAGAGTGATAGTCCAAAGAGTTGAAGATAGACCTTATCGCATAACAACCTGAGGATAATTTTTTGCATAATATACTAACATGCGTTCCAAATTTTGATTTGTTATCTATGTTGAGGCCTAAAAATTTGTTCTCTAGTTTATGATCAATGATGTGTTCTTCAAGAATTATATGGTCCAGATTACATTTAAAGGACATTATATTAGTCTTTGATATATTGAAAGATAATAAATTGGCATCACAACATTGTTTAACTTTGCCTATATCATGCTCTACCCTCATTTTCAGTACATCAGTGCTTGTTCCATGCCAAAGTATAGACGTGTCTTCAGCAAATCTTGTGAATATTTCTTGTGTTGTTCGGCTGTCCTGGCATATAATATGCAGTAAACCTTTTAGTGTTTAACATTTCTTTTAGTTTTTTTACGGCATTCCAACACCAATCTAAATATTATTCTTGAGTTCAGTGTCCTAAATACGATTTTCCGAAAGACGAATGTTTACTGGGACTGATTATTAGGGATATTAAATACACTTTTCCTGTTAAATTTGCAAAACTATTGTAATTAACGAAAAAATATATATCATATTTGTCATGATTATATGATGAAATGCGATAATACTAATGCTTACTAGTTATGGCGGATAACGACTCAGACGTTTGAAGAAACAATTGAACGTGTATCCTTGATCTTATTGATAAATATAAGGGTTTTATAGGTATTTGAGCAAAAATTAAATGATCTGGATAGTTTGGCGTCTTGTGATCATTTATTTGCAATTATTATATTAGCAAAAAACATCTTTTCTGCTTGCTATGAATGATATTATTTTATCTGAAGCCAAGGGAATGGGCATTACATCCATGCCCACCCTCTTGTCTCCTTGTAGTCGCCCTCGGCCACTCTATAGGACTCGTGTCACTATAATAGCTCCCTAGCTCTTTCTACACTATTGACATTTTTCACTGGGGGATAACAAAATGGCACTACAAATATGCTTGCCATTCTTATCTCTCTCCTCGGATGTTTGAGTTTGGAGTATCTGAATAATAGAATGATTCTGTCCCCCAAAGTCATCATGAAAACTTTGGACACCCTTTCTGCATGCGACCCTGTGAATGCGGCAATTGGAGCGTTTTTATTCAAGTTTTTTCGATACTGAACGAACCAAATGAGGTGACCAAAACACTGTCACTGACTTGGATTCCTTTTAGTGAAAGTCCACGTAGAATCAGAAGAGATTACTTGGCTTCCGCAACTATATAATTTTAAGTCGATCAATGGGGCTTTTTCAAGAACATTGAAGACCTTGACTTATCAAAGAATTTGAGATTTGCCTTTCGATGGTGGCCTCGACACCTTGGCTTATTTTAGTAGTGTAAAGATTCATTTTACCAGATACAGAGTCTGCAAAAGAAGACATTAGTAAAATAAGATGATATTCGTCGTGAAGTTTCCAGTCCTGGGTGAGACTGTTGGTCAATACATACATAGTACATAGATACAGTAGGTACCTAGATTAACAATAGTCTATAAAGATGAAGTCAGACGCATCATAGTAAGCATTCTCTGAGAGATGATTTTTCAGTTACTGTTTGAAATTAGCGAGGGTTGCATTTTTCATTGATTGGGACAGTGAGTTGTACAATGATATGTATGAGTTACATCTTCTTGTTATTTCTAGTCTTTGGTTTGGTGCTTTAATATTATCCTTTTTCAAAGTATTATAACGAATGGTTGTTATCGTTTGTAGTAAACTTTTGTAAATTTTCTTGAATGTGTATCAAATTGCAGTATATTACATATGATGGCAGAGTTAATATATTGAACTTTATAAACCAATTCTCACAGGAACTATGAAACATTGCATGATTCGCGGTATGGGCAGCTTCTTAACGACTTTATTTTTTATCTGCCTGTTTGCATATACCTTGCATGATAGATTTTTTGCTAGTTTGTCAATATGGGGTTTACAAGTTAACTTTGAATCAATAGTTATACCAAGACGTTTAACATTATTTGAGAGATTACGAGACAGCGAGAACATAACTGTTTGTGTCTTGCTTTTATTCAGACATAGGTTATTCGCATTAAACCAGTGCGTAGCTTCTTGAATAACTCGCTTTTCTAATTCTGATGAGTCTTCAATATTTTTTTCCCAAATGGCGAAGGAAGTGTCATCGGCGAATAGCATTGTAAACATTGTCATTGAGTTTGGCAGGTCATTAATATAAATTAAAAGTAGTGGCCCAAGAACACTACCTTGTGGAACACCATTCAATATCGTTTGAGCTACTGAGTTCTTTATTATATGATACACATTGTTTTCTCTCATTTAGATATGATGCTCGCAGATGGTGTGCTATGCCTACAAATCCATACTATCTCAGTTTTTCTAATAAATGTCAGTAGAGACGCAGTCAAACGCTTTGCTCAGATCGAGAAATATGCCAAATTTTGATTCTTTGTTTTCGAAACCTTCAGTTATGAAGTCGACTAATTCGAGCACTGCTTTCGACGTGATTCTTCATTTCCTGAATCCAAACTTCTATCTGTCAAGATATTTTTGAACTCTAAATAATTTATCATTCTTAGTGCCATTATTTTTTCTACAATTTTTGCAATTACGGGAAGTAGTGCAATTGGTCTGTAGTTTCAATGAAGATTGATATCAAAGACCGGAATTATCTTTGCAATTTTTAGTTTTGATGGAAATACACCAGATTTCAGAATCAAGTTGACAATACACGTAATTGGTCGTAGTAGCGCAGATAGATTTTCTTTGTACATAACCACTGAGTGATTGTAAATATCAAGCGAGCCCGAGTTTTTTAGAGATTTGATGACTTCATTCACCTCTGCAGTATCAGTTTGATGGAAATGCATCGAGTTATCAGCATTGCATGTAACTTGGTGGAGATAGTTTGAGAATTAATTATTGGGTGTACTCATTTCATTATTCATATCCAGGGCTACATTTATAAAAAAGTCATTGAACTGCTCTGATGTAAGAAGAGCTATTCGTGTGATTATTCCTAACTATGTTTTTATTTATAAGCTGCCAGATTGTTTTGTGTTCATTGTTCGATTCGTTCAGTTGTTTCATCGCCTTTTCTCTCTTCATTTTTATAAGTAATTGTTCGTATTTATATTTTTTTATTTAAATTCCAATTTGATGTTCTCATAGTTGTTAAAAAGTTTCAATTGATCGTTCCGTTTCTGGATTTCATTTTTTGCAGCAATTACTTCTGGATATGAATAAATGCTAGGATCACGCTTAGAATTCATTCTGACTTTCATAGGAGAAAATTATACTTCCGTATAGTAGTTCAGGGTATTATAGTAAACTTGGATCATCTCGTTTATCTCATGTTTAAATAGTTCAATCCAATTTTCACTTATCACGGTATGGAAAGTGTTCATTGGTTATCAATGCCGACACGCCCTCTGATTATATTGAACGAGTCTCTGATCACATCGTCTTATTGTGAAAGTTATAAACAATATCAATCTATATCAGGAAATATGTTTCTTCAGTTAATGAAACCTTTTCGAAGTAACTACTATTAGTGCAAATAATGAATATCTTGACTTACTGTTTCTTGTCACAAAGTATACCTAAATCAGCCTCTCCTAATTAGGCAAGAAAAAATAAGCATGAAGAATAAGAAGTATTCAAACAATCTTTTTCCTATACCTAATATAGCGACTTTGGGCGATGTCCTAGATGTAGGTACCTAACTTTTCGTTGTCGTATGATGCATTAAAATCTAGGTATAAACGATTCTTATTTAGTCAACAATAGTTTGATTATGATCATGAAATTCTACTTATCATCCATAGGTGAAGAACAAAATATTTCTTTCGAAAATGTATGTGTGTGTATTTATTGGCTTCTCAAGGGGGACTGTGCTGCAGGGTCTAACGGCTTTCCTTTTATTTCCCTTAATTAGATATTTTTGTATCGAAAAATTGTTTTGTATTATTTTATATATTGGCAAATAATAAATGTATTATCATTATCATTATTTGTTTCACTATTATTACTTCAAGGTTCTGTAATTCAAAGATCACCAGAATAAAATGAGGAATAGGAAATGATAAATCAAATAGTTATCATATTTTCTGTTTTTCAGATAAAAACTCCCGAATATTCAACCACAAGGAAAATGGCTATCAAGTGCCTGATGGACAAGAAATCAGGTATAATAAATATAAGGGAGCCATGCAGTATTTGCATCGCGCTCTAGGATATCCGGGTGGTGGAGGGTGAGACGGCTATCCAAACAGTAGACATAGATAGAAACTACCAAGAGTTTTCGATTCAGTCGCATAAGATTGCATAGACTCCAAATTTCTATCATCAAATGAACGATCATTTTTTATGAAAATTATTATTACAACGGTCATAGATTTTTCACTGCGTTAGTACCTTCTGAAAGTAATTATTACTTATTAGGTACGAAGGTTACAAAACAGACAGCAATGCACATATGGGTACAGAATTATTTCAAACAGTATGTCATACATCTTCGAGATATACTGAATTCGTTTTCAAAATCGTCCACCACCCAAGAGTACACAACATATAAAAAATCAATAGTAGGCTAGAAAAAATATCGAATTTTTAATATAATAAACACAAAATTTGATTATGGAATTGGCCCAAAACTTTATATTCCAATTTAGAAATCATTTTAAACTTTTCTTACTCACCAGTTCCAACAATTTTCTTATACGACTGAACCTAAATCTAAGCACAAAGCATGGTCCTAGCACCATAGAAGTAGTTGTATATAGAACCGACTGAAATACACGCTTTTAAATTAATATTTCTGCATAAAAAAATATTTATAAAATATTTATCACGAAGATAGTTTCAACGGACAATTCAGTTTGAAGTTTCATTCTTTTGTATATACTGTTTGTATAGTGTTTATTAAACATGTGGCAAAAATTTAAGGGACTATTCCTTGGACTATTCTAAGAATATTTTGCCCTTTGATGATTTTTGATAGGAGGGCGCTTTGTTTCGAAGATAATGAGCAAAAATAAAATAGCATGGTTTAAGAAACCATCACATAAAGAGATTATTTAAGATGAAAAAGAACTATTTGAAATCAAGTGATATCCAATCATTCTGCTTCTGTTGCAAAAGTAAGTTCTCAAGATCATGGCAAACGATAGTTTTACTACCACTACTATTCAAGAAATAATTGATATCCCAAAAAAATTCATTAACTTGCTAAAACGAAACAAATAGACGGAATATCGATTCATTTGTACGAAAAATTGGCCTCGTTACTTTTTTCTTTCATGGTATATCGTTATTATGAACTGAATACAAAAATATGTCGATTAAAAAAATATTTTCATAGCAGAGACAGTATACAAGATTGAATATTATGTGTATTTATGTATCTGTGTGTATATGTCGATTAAACAAATATTTTCATAGCAGAGACAGTATAGAAGATTGGATATTCTGTGTATTTATTTATTTTGTTTTCATTTTAAAATTCTTAGGGAAAGAGTTTCTAATAGTTTGTATAATTAATCAATTTTTTAACCAGATATTATTATGCCTACTATTCAGTTGATCTGCAAATGAATCCACATTTTCTCTAATAATGATAATAGTGAAACTTGAAACGTATTTCAGAACATGACACAAACAAAAGGTTACCGAAAATTATATACTTGTTAGAAAATGAGAAAAAGGAGTAACAATGCACGAACAAATCATTAAAAATTAACAACTCTACTTGCCAAACAATGAACAAACTTTATTCTTTGAGCTCAACAACAACCCAATAGTTGTTTTAATTATGTTTAAAAAATCCTCTGCGAAATACTTGGATAGCTTTCTTTCTTTCTGACAATCAAACGATACATCATACAAGGAATACGTTATAATTAGAGTGTTAACTAGTTTCCCATAATAAATCAATTCTCACTTCAAGATTATATCTATGTTCTAGCCAAGTTCAGTATTCAGCGGAAAATGTAAATGGGCGAGATTATCCTAAAATGAATAATTACTATGGAGACAACAGTTACAGGCAGCCGATTCAACAAGAAAATTGGCCTTCAGGTAATGAATAAATACCTACTGTTATCAGAATATTTTTTTTGAGAAAAGTTGTATGCAGGTTATGAAACGTTCCACCCTATTCTTTAATATATTGAATTATTTCAAAAGTTTTATCTGTTTTGATGAGTCTACTTTAAACTGTCATACATCATTGAATACTTTCAATTTAATTAAAATAGGCGCCTTTTGCCAACGTAACACAAGTCGATTGATTTCTTGATTGGCAAGAAGTCTGGAGAGTATGGTGGGTGAGGCAGCTCAATTCGTTTAATTTTCGGACGGTGATTTGTGAAACGTGCGGACGGGCGTTGTCGTGGATCAGGATTGAGCCTCTTCTGTTGACCAGTGCCGGCTGCTCCTGACGCAATTTTCGGTACATTTCGTCGGTTTCTTCAAAAAAGGACTTTGCTGTGATGGTTTGTCCCGGTTGCAGAAAGTTACAGTGAATTACACCAGCCGCTGGCCACCATACAGTAACCATGGTCTTTTCTTGGTAGGTTTTCGCCTTTTGGAAGTACCTGGGTTGTTCATCAGTGTCCAACCACTGTCCTGAACGTTGTTAGTTGCGCGATAGCAAAGAAGTACAGACTTCCACACGTGACAATTTCTGTCGATCGTTCAAATGGTAGGGCACCCACTTTTCGAGCTATTTGACCTTTCCAATACGTTTCAAATCATCAAAAACCGCATGGGAGCTAACGCCCAGTTCTTCCGCCATCCCATGCACTGTTTGTGATGAGTCAGTCTCCACCGGGGCCCTCAAATCCTCGTCCTGGGTTACTGTAGCTCGACCACTCCTGGGCTCATCTTCGAGGCTAAAATCTCTGGAACGAAATTTCGCAAACCAACGTCGATTAGTGCATCAACACTATCATTGCGTCTTGCGTTCATAAGGTTTCTTTTTGACTATTTTACTTACAGTTGAGAAAGGAATTTCGGTCAAATCAGATGTTGTTTGCAATAGTTTTTTCCCTCGAAACCAAACTTGATATGTAGATTCTTATATATATATTGAAACATACTCTCTGTGTTTCAATATTCAAATGCATCCGAATCTTATTCACTGGTATCTCTTTTTCACAGTATTCACCATCGCTATTGGAATCACTACACTGGAAAACGTCTGCGTTGTTATCAAACTCGTTATTACTATTAGTACTTGTCCAAGGACGCCACATTTTAAACAGATAAAAATTTTAAGTAATTATAACTGCACCAATATCGAATTTCAACACTCAAACCGCGATCAGTTCCTAAACTGAACACGACGGCGATAACCATCCCCGCATTCCCGATTTCTATTCGTCGCCGTAACATGACTTCAAATTTAATTTTATGACTCTTCAGTCAGTCATAAAACTCGGTTACTACAAGTCTACAATCCACGTGGACTAGTTCGCTGCCGGTTCATTTCTATGTATTGGTTTTTTTTTGGCCTTTGTGAGTGCCGCAAACTTTAAGAGTACCCAATATCGTTTACTTCGATTATATCTACTCACCTAGACTGCCTCATATTAAAAAATTATCATTTCACAGACACCTTAAATTCGAAATGAAATAGACTTTTCAAATGAATTTTCTATGAAAATGAGGACGGTTGAATAGATAAACTTTTTGACTTGATTTTTCAACCGCTCGGAATCCAAATATGGAAAGCATTCAAAAACATTTCATACGCCACGCTTTTATTGGGTACCCTGTATATTAGAGAATGTTTTTAAAGGACCAAATGCATTGGTATCTGGAACATGTGAACTATTTTTTGTTAACTTCACTTTTTCATCTGTATAAAGATAAAGTTTAAGCGCTGATGTTCTCCCCGAATATAAAGGATAAAAAAACTCACCAAAGTTAGATTATTAAGAAAAATTGGCATTTACAATAAAATATTAAAGTTGAGAAATGAAAAATTCCAAATGAAAATCTAAAGTAGAATCATTTGTCATAGCACCTGAGAAATTGAATTTAACATGTTTTATATGTATAGAACAATGATATAGATACGTTTTGTCATGATAGAAAAGATATTTTAAATTTATTTTTCAAATTTATTATTCTGTTTTTTATTTCAAATCAATTAACAAAAGTTAAAATGTTATTGTAAATTTTGCTTAAATTTTGTATTTTTATTTTAGTTTGAATATCTATATATTGAAAAATATAAGTAGTAATTAGACACATTTAGAACTCCACTTGATTATGAGACCACAGGTTTCACATTAAACTTAAAATTCCCCCAATACTTTCAACTGATATTAAAAATTTCTATTTTAAAGAAGATTCATTTAAGTTGAAATATTTACAATTATCCCATATATGATTTCATTTAATTACTTGTCCATTTGTTCTAGGTGGGGGTGTATATGAACAAAGGAATAACCCCCAGGAAGAGAGCCGATCCCAAGGTAAGAATGGATCCATAAACTCGTTAATTAAAAATGATCATAAAATGAACTGGGTATAGAAATGAAGTTGATCTCAACTTCGGGAGATTAAAAAAGTGAAATTTTCCGCTAAACGTTTCAAATTGTGACAAAAAAAACACTTAAACAAAGGACGGTTAACATTTCTAGAACTGACAGTCCTATATAATTATATTAATATTTTTTCCAAAATAATTTGCTTGCTAGTCAGATTTGTCTGCGGAGCCGACAAATTCGTAAGGCGAGCAGACATCGTTATGGGGCGTCCATTAATTACGTGAAGGTTAGGTTAGGTCCCACTTGGGAGAGAGTGGAGATCTCCGCCAATATTACACATTTTTCCGCAAGAAACACTGAAACATTTGACGTGGCTTTGTAAACCATTTATTGTGGAAATCTTACAGTAAAATGTATTAGTAGTTTTTCACATCAGACTTATTTGATTTGTTCAAGTGCGAGTAATGAGTAGTCTATTAAATTCAATAGCCCCACTGTGTAAAGCACCTTCTATGTCTTGTCAATACCGTTTAAGTACCGAAGATGGTTATGTTGGTGGATATAAACTGAGACTATATACTACACTTCAAACTCAAAAGTCCTCCCAAGATATCTTAAATAGTTATTCTTCAGCAAAATAACTATTCCACATTCTATAAATCGTTAATTTTAATTACACTACAACTCTTATTCCACAAAACAAAATTCGCTATGTCGTCATCAGCCAAATATGATGAGAAATAAATGTATAATACTCACACTATTCTGAATTTTCAGCACAAAACGTTAAAAATCCATCAGGTTTAAAATCAACTCCTGTGAAAGTTCCCATTGTCAGGAATGAGAATGGTGAGTTCGACTTAAAGTAAATGTAACATAAAGAGTGACTGAAAAGAATATTTGTATTTCGAGGTTTTTGGTAGGTTTGCAATAATTATGCTTCTTCTTTCTTCATTTTGAACCATCTGCCTTGAGTTATCATCTTGATATGGGTCGCATAGTGCAATGGACTGAACGAAAAATGTATATATTTGCTTGGTTCTTTCAGATGACTTGAAATATTAATATTATTTTCTTGGGGAAATTCATTTGCTTCCAATGTTTTCCACATTCTTTGGAGGTAACGTATTTAAAATGATGAAGGAAAATGACCCCTCTTCTCTCTTAACATAAAAAGATTTGTGAAATTGCGTAGTTTTGTATAAGCTTCCAAATGAATATCGGATTTTGTTCTCTTGATTTTTTTCAATACTGATTCATTATATTTGTCTGATAGGATACGTCAAATAAGTAACTTTAGCTTTCGTACTCTGGGAGTTTTAATTGGAGTATGCCTATTAAACAAATCATTCTAAGAATTAACCTTTCACACTATTTACTTGATCATGAATTTTAAAAAGATTGACATCATTTCTGAAGTTTCTACAAGTGATAATTTTCGTTTATTTTCAGATACCACAATTCACATATTGTATGTATGTATGTATGTATGTATGTAAACCAACTTGTTTGTACTGACTCTTCTATTGTACTGTAGAAATAGGTATATGAATTCAACTTTTAAGCATTCACGTGGTTCAATTTAATTCCTTCACAAATGCTGTTTTCACATGCGATCTTCAAGAAATTATTTGTATTAAATGGTGAATTTAGTGACAGATTTATTTTATTGTTTTATCTCTCAACTTTTCAATTTCATTTTTTGTTAAACCCAAATATGAATTTTATTAACAATTGAAAATTAACAAAATTCAAGAGAAAAGAGAAAAAAACACCTCAAAAGTGCTGCTTCGTTCTCTTCTGTTCATAAAAGAGGACATATGCCTCCTCACTCACAAGCGAATTAGGTGAAATTGGGGACACATGTGAATCGTTGTATTCATACCACGTGGCACTATATGGGTGTCTGCAATATGCTGTGTAATGCCCGTTGTAAGTAGTCCCACTATGATTCGAAAGTGCATATAGAGTATAACGACAAGGGGCCACATTGTCTGCTGCATATTGTTTTAGAGATTTAAGTTTGTTTGGGTTTGAGTGAGATCATACTTATCCTAAGAATATATTCTGCTCTTGATAAATAAATTGAAGCTCTGAAGTAAAATGATAATCTATCGAAACACTTTTCCTGCACCAGAACAAAAGTACTGTCTCTCAACGTGCGAAACGCACGTTGAAAGACGCAAGACCCAAACAGAGTAGTACAATGGGTTAACAAACCATTATTTATTCTGGTAACTCGTTTGCGATTGGATAGATGGTCAATTGAAGGATAGTATCCCTCAAAATTTACATCACGAGGGCCTCTAAACAATGAAATAAATTTTTTTTAATACAGCTAAATGATGAAAACATTGACAATTCGGTTTAGAAGCATGTAACCTGATGCAATAAACGTGGATTGTAGATAATTCTTTAGAGTATTGATGGCTTATATAATTGTCATGGAAATAATGAAGACGATTGCTTTTATTATATGCCAAACTCTCGAAGTAATTTATGCTCACTGCTTATATGAATGTTTCAGCAAACCCAAAACATATTCAAGAATCCCTCGCGCAAGACCTAAAGCACTCAAAGGACAGTATGGAACATGGCAGCAATGTGCCTGAGAAGATAAAGATAACCAAACATGTTCACCACGAACAATATCCTGATGTAGTGGCCTACAAAATCAGTGACGAAAATGATCTGGAAGACGGTATTGCTCAAACGCAAAAAGGAGCTGTTTTGTCAGTTTCTTTAGGTATGCATAGCTAGAGTTATCACACATAAAAGTAAGAATAAAAACTAGAGTTAGTAGGTATATTTTTCAAACATAATAACAAATGCAATAATTTTACATGGTGTCAAACAAATTTCAAGGTCTTATCATAACATTCATCATGGCCGTGATGATTGGATGCAGACTGAAGATGGTTCGAAGAAGAATACGAAAAGGAGGAAAGGCTTATGCCCATGATGCAGATTACTTAGTTAATGGAATGTATTTGTAACGACTCTCCTGAAGAAGCTACTTAAAAATGCCTTTTTATTTGTTGAGCATATTGTTCAAGATATTGTGTAAATAATTTACTATACTCAAATCTTATGAAACTTTAAAATAACATCTTTACCAAATTTCTGAGAGCTTTATTCAACCTATGAACATTTTTCAGTTTACTTTTTTTATCTCTCTGTCTCGTTTATTATGCTCTATAGCATCATCTTAGTTTTCTTTCTATTGATTTGAGGAATTAAAACAAAACTGTGATTTCTATGTAAGAATATGTAGAAATAACACAACTTTACCTTCAAATATATATTTCCAATCCATCAAATGTGACAAAAAGAAGGTGGATGAAGTACCAGTGTTAATGAGTCATGAGTTGAATCCTGTATTTCCAATGTACATACACAAATGTTTTCAGTAGTAGCAACAACTGTTGCGAATTGGAAATAATGGATGCGCTTTGGTCAATTCATTGAAAGAAGTTAAAATGAATAATCGACTTTGTTCCTGGGAAAACAAGGTGTAATATGTTTATCCTCTACTCCAATTTTCTTGAAATAAATAATCAGCCTAGTTCTGGTAAACAAATCCAAAATGATTTGTGTTTCATTGAACTTTCAAAACAAAATTTATGTTTCAAATCCCATTCATTTGTGGTTTTGGACTTGACTTCTCTTCGCCGACCCCTATTACTCTATTAATATGTGGATAAATTGTGGAGGTTATTGGAGTATAAAAGTTTTAATTTAAATATTTTAACTCCGCACAAAATATCCCAAGCTAGTTTTTTTAAAAATATATACTCTACGTTACGTCTCAAAAATTTGAATATAACAAAAAAACAATATTTTGCATAAACTATATTACTTGAGTTCATTCACATTCTTAGTATATTACTAATATGACACTTCTGATTAGTAAATATATAACAAATATTTTACATAACATATATTAACATATTAATCAATAATGTCTTTGGATGTTCCTTAAAACTGATATGTAATAAACCTTTAACAAAATCAACATTCAACACTCATATCTTTTTTCAAGCAATCTCACTTGAGGTAAGATCAGAAACACCCTAATACTTATCCAAAATATAAACTCTTCTTTCAACTCAAAAAAGCAGATTTGAAACAAAAAGTCTTCAGAATCATGTAATGTACAAAATCAAAACTATTTCAAATGCCAACTCCCTAAAAAGATATATGTACAATTGCTTTATTTATTGTGACAAAATATTTGTACTAAATTAAATTTGGCAACTATAAAATTTTCAAAATGATTAGGTACAATAAAAAGTTTTGTAAATTACTGGACAAGAGTTTCACTTAGGAGATTCAAATGTTACTATTTTATACAAAAGTAGTTTGAAAATCTATCAAAATACTTTGTTATTCACCCAGGTCTAAGCCAATTTTCTCCTTTTTTACTTTCACTATTTTGAACTGGACCATCAATATGCTTGATTAACATTTTTGCACTTTTGGTTTCTCAAATCAACTTTTAAATTTTAAATGGAACACCCTATATGTCATATTTTTGGATCCGTCATAATTTCATGAACAAAATGTTTATATAACAAATGATATATTTTCTTTGTATAATATCCTGATAAATCTATCAAAATTCAAGCCACATGAAAAATATTTAACAATGAGAAAAAATAATAGCAATTGGAAATCATTAAAAAAAACTTTTCAGGTAGAACTATAATGGTATTAAGACACTGAAAGAAATTATCATTCAGAAAGAATCTGCTACCTTTCAAGGCTACATGTCTGGCGCTAAAACAGATTTATGTGAAATTTTTTTGAACTAAAAATTAATGAAATTATTCAAATAGATATTTTATAAGAAAACATATTCATGAATGTGATGAAAATGAATGGAAATGGAGTGACGGAAATGAATTAATATTCTCTTCGAGGCAGATCACTTATGCATTGGATGGAAATCATTGAAAATGAGAGAAATTTGGAAAACTCAATCTTAAAAAAAATTGAATACTAGAGATTAACAATAAGAATCCATCCAATTTCATGCTTAGTCATTTGATTCAACTTTATTAGAGATAATTAGATACATACAAATGAAATAAATATGTTTTAAAAATATGTTTAAAATATGTTTTTTCCGTTAACCAGCTATCGCACCCCTACAAACGACAACCCTCAGAAGTCGAAACTTGTGAGAGCTAAGTACTAACGAGGTCTTACCTTTTAATGTGTGATTCCTAACAACGAATACAAAAATCAATTTCATAAATCTGTTAAAAAATGAACTAAAACCAGAAATAATCTGGAGAACTTTTTTTGGTCTATCGATTTCACGACCACTGTTTATTCAGGTACATTTTTTAAATTCTATATCCGAAATATAATGAAAAAATGTTGTTTCATATTTTTGTCGATATTATTATGGATAGTAATGGCCTGATAAGAGAATGACCTTTCAAACTGTTTGGTTTTATGCTGTGGAATAGAATATTCATTGGGATTTCTGAAACCTTTGTTATGTGTATCAGGTCTCTATGTCAACTTCTTTTGAAGATACTTAGGTTGTTCCTTAATCCCCCTTAATCGGGACTATGTAAAATTGCAAACAAAAGTTTCTATTCCTTTCCCCCTAATACTTTCTTTGTCATACACTGACCCAAACTTTATAGGATTTTTCCCACAGGCTATGACTCAGTTGGTTAGCTGTACATAAATTCAAATTCCTTACCTTATTTTTGGTACTTTGAGTAATATCTTGGTATCAATATTGTATCGTTTGAAAAAATAAGTTTTGAATTCAAAATCACATTTGGTGCTTTTTTGTCACATGAAGTGTCAGATATTTTTACCATTATTATGTTCTTTGGATAATCTTAAACAGGTTATCACTCTAAACTGGAAAATAAAATGAATAAAAAATTTGACACCTGTAATAAAATTGAATTTATAAAATCATGTACTTTTCAAAACATTATGATATACACGGTGTCCATTTAAACACCATAAAATTGATGTCATTTTCTGGAAAGTCAAAAAACCAAAAATAAGCCAAAGCATGACTTTAAATCTGTTAAAATCTATTTTACCGTTAATCAGCAAGTATATTCAGTTCAAGTTTTAAAAAATAAAAAAAAAAGAGAAAAAGGCATATACCCTTTGTCATTCACTTACAGTATAAAAAAAAATACCTTACGATTATTCCCTTTGTAACACATCAGAGAAGTGAATGATGACATATCACAAAAAAGTTTAATTTTTTGCAGACATCGCTTCATGAAATGGTGATTCAGTGATGTATCAATTTCAATTCCATGCTCAACTTTCAAACATTAAAAAACAACAATTTACTAGGGTGTTCAAAAGATTACACTTTGAAAATTAAAGTATATGTCTGAAAAAATTCAAACAGTCTTGTAAATAGATGCCCTAGAACTTTCTCCTCATTTCAGTTACTTATGAGAAGAGTTTTTCAGGAATGTGTGTATATATAAAGAAAGAAAGACAATATATACTGTCAGAGAGTTCAATTTTTTTTTCATTCATTTCAGTACTTCTCGTAAACCTCTCTCTCTCTCTCTCTAGGCTCTTCAATTGCTTGCAATAACAAATAAAAAAAATTCAAAATGTTTGTACAAAAATAGTAAGTGTGTAGCCGTAACACTAAGAACATGATTTCATGAATAGATTTTTTTTAAACACTCTACGTTACGTCTCAAAAATTTGAATATAACAAAAAAACAATATTTTGCATAAACTATATTACTTGAGTTCATTCACATTCTTAGTATATTACTAATATGACACTTCTGATTAGTAAATATATAACAAATATTTTACATAACATATATTAACATATTAATCAATAATGTCTTTGGATGTTCCTTAAAACTGATATGTAATAAACCTTTAACAAAATCAACATTCAACACTCATATCTTTTTTCAAGCAATCTCACTTGAGGTGAGATCAGAAACACCCTAATACTCATCCAAAATATAAACTCTTCTTTCAACTCAAAAAAGCAGATTTGAAACAAAAAGTCTTCAGAATCATGTAATGTACAAAATCAAAACTATTTCAAATGCCAACTCCCTAAAAAGATATATGTACAATTGCTTCATTTATTGTGACAAAATATTTGTACTAAATTAAATTTGGAATTTTTTTTAAACTATCGAGCTTATTGTATTTTTTCATTTCCTGAAATCTAATAAGTATTGCAAAGTTCATTATCATGCTCTCAAGTAACTGTTATTATAATCAAATCAATCTATTTCAACACAATATTTTCTACTAAAAAATTACAGGATTTCAAAATCACAAGGGCTTTTAAATTCCTCCATATTGCATAAACTGCATTATTTAATCATCAACTTGAATAGTATAATTCTTTTTGCAATGCATCATGAAATAGACACCCAGTTTTATATGAAGGTAAGTCTCAAATTATTGAAGACCTTCACCACATGAGCAAATTTCATTCTTTTCTCCTTACCACTTGAGAGTATACTCAAAGAATCCATTGAAATAATCTGATTGAAAACTATTGAACGATGATTCTATACAGAACTTGAATTGCAAAGACTCGTTAACATAGTACACTGTAGTTCCAGTCTTTGAACAGTGGCAAGAAGGTATGAGTTTTCAACAAAGAGATCCTTAACGAGCAGGTCAGTACTCTCTAACTTGTCTAGTTGTTCCTTACTAATTCTCACTTGTTGTTCCAACTTGTCTTGGAAATATTTTAGCTTCGAATGGAGGTCTGATCTTTCACCTTTGAACTGAGCCCAGTAATCTGGAAAGGAAACCAAAATTAACACGGAAAGGTGGAACCTAGGGAGTAGAATGAATTCAACAGAAAATAATTCAACGCAACCAGAAGTTGGTATAATATGCATCATACCGTATATTTCATCTCCTAATGACGCCAATTTGGTTAGCTGAACACGTGTCAAGTAGAATGTTACAGTTCTGGAGTGTGGTAGAAGTATTTTTATAAAATTAACAGTTTTGAGCTGAATGAAAATAAATACATTTGAAATGGTGTCTGTTATTCATAAGAAAAACAACATTTTTCAAAATGTAAATGAAATTTCAATATTAGTTACATTCCTGTAACGAAAGTCCTGTAAAAGTGGCAAGCATTATGGGAGAAATTGTATTAGCAAGGGTGGGAAGGGGTTGTCTTCAATGTGGGGTTTTATCCCCACTGTTGTGGAAATTTGTAATGGACCTGTTCTAGACCATAATAAGTATAAAATACTGCGCTATGTAGACGACTTAGTAATTCTATTAAAACTAAAGTCGTTCTATATCGTAACTAAATGGTCCAGTGAAAGGACTGAAAGTAAACACAACGAAATCGACTGAAATAGAATTCAGCAAAAGGACCAAAGTAGGTGCCTAGGACCTCTAAAACTTTGAGGTAAAGAGATACAGCTGTCGGGGGAGGTCAAATATTTAGGAGTTATATTAGATCCTAGGCTGAGCTGGAACCAAAATTCATAAAGAGTAAAAATAAAAATGAAAGTAGTACTGATGCTGGTCAGACAAATCTACTAAATTACATGGGGGTTTAAACCACAAATGATGTATTGGCTCTACATCATGGCGGTTGAACCCAGGATAACAATTGCATCTATGGTCTGGTAGCCAAAGATGAAAAAAAAGACCGCTATTAACAGACTAAACCTGCTGCAAAGATTTGCTTATTTGGGATCAATGGGAGCAATGAAAACCACACCACCAGAGACATTGGAGATGTTTTTGGATCTTTCTTCTTTACATCAATAGTAGCAGAGACAAAAGTGAGCCAATTCAGACCAGAAAATTTCTCAAGTTTCAAGGGATTTCCTGTGATTTGACTAAATTTGACAATTCTTTGAAGCAAATCTTCTAAAGACCCTGCTTGTGTCCTAACAATCTCCCCCAGAAAAAAAAGGCGACAAATCTAGTGACCCTGGAGTACATTCAATACTTTCTCTACTCACAATCCAGTGTCATGGAAACGTTCAGATCAACGGTAAGATGAAGGTCATTGTATGCAGGAAGGTGATCCTCAGTATTTTTTTGATTGTTATTCAGCATTAGGAACAACATTTTACTTGGCACCTGATGAGTAAAAGATGCACCAACGAATGGCCTCCACGGATACCAGATTCGACACCCTCTGATTTTACTACATTATGTTTACACTGGTATCCAGTTTTTTATTATCTTTTCAGGTGGAGATATGTTCCATTAGTTCTGAGGGAGTACTGATGAATATTTTGTAAATACAGTAGAATTCATATATAACGACTCCGATTATAACGACTATCTGTTTACAGCGACAATACTGTTTATTCAAGTTTAGTTTCATATTTAGTTACTGAGAAAATATACCGTTTAGTGCGACTCTGGTTTAAGCGACCAACCGCTTATAGCGACCGTTTTTCATGATAATACATCTGGTGAAAAAATATCGCGCAATGTTTTGTTTACACAATCTGCGCACCAATACCTCGGCGCACTCCCTCTTCTTAGGTTCCTCTATAGATAGGTTACTAACAGATATCAATAAATTGATTTTACGCCAGAGGTTGCAGAATGAAGTCTTTGTCACTTGTAAGTTCATAAAGTTCGACAAAATGAATTCTGTGAGCAAAAGTGTTTTCCAACTTGAAGAAAAAAGTTCAATATTACACCGATTAGAAGGACTTCTACTCATGAGCAGTTGGATAAGGCATTGCGAAACAATATAGAATGTAGCCTAACTTCAAACCCAGATGATTTCAACGAAGAAGACGACATAACGCTGAGCATTTAGGCTAGGGCTATTGATATGCATCAGTTACCCATAACAAACGAGGACTTTGAAGAATACGCGTGTGTCGATGATACTGTCGCCACTTGTGAGTAACCGTCTGATGAAAACATTGTGGAAAATATAATTGCCAATGATGCAAATAGCAAAGGAACAAAAGTTTGTCAAAAACAAACCCAGATAAGAGACTTTCTACGTTAGTAACACAGTTTTTTCGTGCATTTCGTGTTCATGTGTTTGTACATTAGGATATTTAAGAACTATTAAAATAAAGCATATGTGATTCCTATAAAATGCTTTATTCACCTATCGATCAGCAATCCGAACAGATAAATGAAAGACTAATAAACTAATGTTCACTTTACTACCACAAAATTAAACCGTTTTGTGCGTCGTCTGGTTATTACGACATAGTATATCCGGTCCCTTGAAGGTCGTTATATCCGGATTCTACTGTATTTAAATGTCTTGCAGTATTTTAAGTATCAAAAAGTTATTCTGCTAAAATCTCTTTCACTAGGGAATATGAGACCCTTTCATTAACAAATATATTTATGTGAAAACTACTTACGATGTAAAGTTTGTTCATTGCGAAAATGTTGTTGTTTCAGACAAATCTGTAGATGCCTCACTCTCTGCTCTAGATGATTTCGCCTCGTGTTCAAATTTTGAAACGATCTCAAAGGAAGGATTATGGATTGTTCGGGATTACAATTAGAATTCTGGAAATTTTTAGAGTCCATTTGTGGTCGTTTGTCTATTTCAATATCTTTCACATCTTTGTCTTGATTATTTTTCTTATATAAATTTTTATCATACTTTCGTGTCCTTTTAGGCCTGCATGGTGCACATGGTGTTGAGTTATCTAGGCAGGTTGAACTTGATGAGGTAGATGCATTTGATTGTATCTTCGTATCATTTGTGAAATTCCAGTTCACAGGCAAAGACTGGGAACTTTCAGTATTTTCTGGAGGATTAGGTTGCTGATTCCAAATCAGAGACTGGTTTACATATTCCAAATTATTAGGCGGTGGTGATTTAGGAGTTGATTGTGTAGTTGGAGGAATAATTTCTTCAGGAAAAAAGTTGCTGCTTTCTATTACGTAACCCGAAAGATTTTTCATTTTATTTAATAATCTGGATTCTTCAGTTTCTATGTTAACTTGAACAGCAGCTTCATTGAGATCTTGCTGTCTCAAAGCTAGCTGAGTCAATTTCTCTTTTAATATCTCTATTTGTTCGTCTTTTCGCAGCAACTCTGATTCACTGTGCTCCTTGTAAAGTTCAAACTCCTGTTCCAAATCTGTAAATTGCTTCTCCAAGTTGTAAGTCTCTTCAATTGTTGGTAGGCGATTGTCAACGAGTTCTTGATTTGCATACTGTTCTTCATAATCTTTCATTTTTAAAAATAGTTCCGACAGTTTGTCACTGTTGATTTTTTGTTCAGCTTCAAACATTTGACGTTCCTCATCCACCTTGCTTTGCCAATAGTCCTCGCACTTCTCATATTCGTTTCTCAAAAGTTCAACACAGTTCTCCAACTCACTACACTTTGTACAAAGTTCTCTATTTTCAGACTCTAGTTTGGTCACTTTATCCTCAAATAATTCAAGAAAATCTGTTTGTGCTCCAACATCAACACCTTTCTTTTTCTTTTCTTCTAAGTCATAACTGCCTTCATTTACATTTCCCGATAAAAATGTTTGTTCCAATTTAACAGACACTTTTCTCAAACTATCGCTGTTCATAGTGCCTTTTTCTATCATCATTTTCATATCTTTTCTAACTATCTCGATAATCTTTTCCAGTTGTTTTACTCTAACAACTAAATGACATAAGTCTGCGCCCGAAAGTAATTCTGGGTCCTAGAAAAAAATATTATATTTTTATTCACAGAACTTACAATTCTAATTCTCAAATAGTTTACCTAATAATGCCCAAATGCCATTTCCAAAGTACATGTGTGCTTTATAAGTCATACCTTAAAATTTGAGATCCCTACTAACGTATCTAAAAACTGTATCTAGACCTTACAGTTAATTTTCCATAGTATGGAATGTACCAGCTGATAGATCTTTATCCATTTAATGCACAAGTACTGATATACTACAGCTATAACTAATAATATATCATGCATCCCAGTTAAAATCAGCCATACCGAATAAGTCATTTGATATATAATTATGTTTGCATATGCTACCACAATGACAATTACTGGGACCGCAGTAGAAGATACACTAAGAAGGGTTAAAGAGGTCATCGATAGATTTAATTCATGGTGCCAACGCAATCATTCAATATTGAATACCTGTAAATCTGTCTCAATGAAATTTTATAATAGGAAAAATAACATATCAGGGGAAATTGACCTTCCTTACTGATGAAATAATGATGTCACGTGACGTAAAATTTCTAGGAACTGTATTAGATGAATCTCTAAATTGGATCTACATATTGATTGATGACTGCAAAAAACTCAATTCAGCTTTTTTGCAATAAAATAAATGAAATTGTATGTAGATAACCATATACTTCGCAATGGCATATCCACATATTTCTCTAAATATTATATAATGGGGATGCGGTCGAGATTTTAATAGAATATTTGTTCTCCAAAAATGTATTATAAAATTATTTTTGATATGGACTATAGTGACAGCTGCAAACCTATACTCATAAGGAAAAACTTGTTATCATCTCCATGCATATATATTCTGAAATATATAAGAAACAATCTTGCATCTTCTGAAGTTAATGCGGCTACTTATAATTTTACGAGTAGTACACGTCATAGTGATATATACCCTATCACAAAACAACAATATTTAAAAATTCTCCACTATATAATTGTGTCAGACGTCTATAAAGTCTGACCGAATTATATACAATAAACTTCCTAATTCAATTAAGGAGTCTAAATCTTTTGAAATATTTAAAAATAACATATATTCAATTTAAATTTTTTTTAATAGCTTACAGGATTATTTGGGATAATTCTTATTTCAATATACTCATTATGTACTTGTTACTCATATATCACATGCTGTTGTGATATTTATGTTTTAGTCTTATTTATATATGATAAATTATGATTTCAATTGTGTATACATTATGTAGTACATTTATCGACTTACCATATGTACATAAGTACCGAAATTATTAATAAATATTGATTGATTGAGAATAAAATTGAATTGAATAAAATAAAGTGTGTGCGAGAGAGATATCATCGAAATTTTATATACCAGTGACAAAAAACAAGACTTCTCTGGACGGTTGTATTGTTTGAGAATTATCTGCCATCATACGATACATTGAAATACTTGGCAAGGTCTCTATGGAGTTCTTTGGTAGACTTCGAAATAGTCCAAAATTGGCGATTCTTTTTTTATTGGTGTTTCAAGAAAAATCATGTTATTACTTCAAAATTTTCAGTACATTTTCAAAGTAAATTGTTCTTGAAACACATTTTCTGTTTACAAGATAGGCCTTTGTCATATCACTTTTATTGAGAGAATGACATATTGTTAACAATTAACAATGCAATTAGAAACATCAAACAGACATTCGTCAGAACTGGTTTGATACTCCTGATGTTTAAATTTCAAATTGATTCCATTACTCTATTGGTAGACGGACAAATGAAAACTAAGAAGACTTGATGATTGTTTCTAGTACATACATGGCTTTCCATTAGAAAAAACTAAAAAAGTTGTAGTTACGTTATTTGATCGTTTTTTTTGCCAATTTATATCATTTCATACCTCCAATAATAACATAATGAATCAATATCTTACAATATCTAGTCAGACTTGCTTCCTTTTTTATATTATATTTGTTTCACCCTCATACTCAAAAAACAAACAAAAGAAAATGATTTACCCTGGAGGTGAAGGACACTAAGTTACACTCACTACATTTTACCTGATAGCTATTATAAGAAATAAGTTGTTGAATTCCTCTAAGAAATGGACCTGGTGTTTCTTTCAAATCATGTAACTCGGTCACATCTTGGTGTCGGACACTGAATAAACCATTGAACCACTGAATAGAGAACAAATTCCTATACGGTTAATGATATAGTGTCCTTTACCTTCAGGATACAGAACTGTAGAATCTGATTAGTGAATGCAATATATTAAGATGGAGAAATGTGATTCGTGAATACTTACCAATTTAAAATAATAATGAGTAAGTACTTGAATGAGCACTTTTGTATGCTATTAAAAAATTGCAGAGCAAACATGAAGCTTCTCCATAAATGAAACACATAAAATAAATAGAAACTTTTATTATCAAAAATTTAAAAAACAACAAGCTCATTTAACATAATTACTATGGAGAAGCTTCAGAATGATAGCACCAGAGCAAATTTTGCACCCTATCGAAATAAACTTAGTACTAATATAATAATACTGCCTTAATCACCAGCTACTAATTAAATGAAAATATTCATTCAATGCTAAATTCCTTAGCTTCTCCCAAAATCATAATTGGAACAATTAAAATGTCAAGCTCTTAGTGCAACTACCATTCCACATATACTCAAAATTTTAACAATCTAATCTAATGTTATCATCTAAAAAAATGCACTGTTGATTAATACAGAACGAGTTTCAAAATCTACGGTTATCATTTGACGTAGTTCCAGCTGATGTCAGAAATATGCCAGTTCACACATTTGAAGTTAATGCTAAGTTAAAAATAAATATGAACAATACTACTGATAAATTTAGAAAACAATTCTAACTTTATTAACCATGCATGCTCACTCTAATTAGAACTACCGTCAACTATATTCTAAGAGATATTGAAACTCACCTCAGCCTCAACGACTGGAAGAGGGATTTTGTTCTGTATCAAAATTTGTTCGAGAAAAGCTATTTTAGCTTGCAACCGCGTTATCTCCTTGTTATCATCTGTAGAAAGTGAGGAAGAGGAATCAAAGCAATCCACTTCTGTATCGAATCCACTCTCACTTGACGCAAATGGAACATCGAGGTTATCCTGTTTTATGTTGTAAAACTTCCTAATCTTACCCAATCGGGGACTACCATCAGCTGAAACGAGAAAAACAAAATTCAATATTTTGAAAAGTATTTCTTTGAATAGGTAATTTCTCTAAAGGAATTATTACATAAATATTTGCAATTTTTTCACTCGAAAAATCCTCACGTAAGTCGATTATTGCTTTCAAATATTACTTTTAGCACACACATTTTTCACCTACTTTTCCCTTCACTTGCCTCTTCAAACATTTCATTATATAGTCATAAAATCTTTAGGTGTTAAAATTTCAGATTATTTACATTGAATTCGAAATCATTCGCTAGAAAGAATATAGAATACCATGAAAAAAATTCAGGGAATCCTGGAGATACATAACTCAGAATCGATATGGATCTTTTCAGTCTATAAAACGTTTTTCAATCGGCAGATTGGAGCTTTCTAGGGGATGAAAGTTCAGATATAAATTCAGTATTTACAATATTCATTGATACTAACACACTACAAGTGGATGTTACATTCCCAAAAAAAATCAAAGATTATAGTTCATAAACCAAAAGAATTGAATTGGTTCACCTCCAAGCTTAAAAAAATTTAACAAAATAAAAACTAATTGCAGAATCCAACAACAAACGAAAAACCATGTGAAATATAATAAAGAAAAATAATAGCAACAACGTTAATAAAACTTAAGTGTTCTCTACCACATCTAATACATAAAAATTGATGTTTGTTGGTTGGTTGATTGATTGGTTAGTTGGTAAGTGATAAACTTCTACATTGCTGAACCGATCGTGATGAAACTTGACATGTATAAGTAATTTTTCATAGAGAAGGTTTTAGGCTATCAATTTTTCTGTAACTCGCCACTAGATGACGCTGTAGAACAGTTTTTTTGAAAGCACTGTTCTATAACGCTGCGCACGCCTCGTCGATTCTGATTCTGTCAAAACATTGGAACAGCAGCGATACAGCAACATAGTACTAATTAGTACTACAACTAATAAATTCTACACGGGCAATAACTAGTTTTTTATAAAACTGCGATTACTCACAACGTTTTGATGTACAAGTGCTATTTATTTTGTTTACAGTGAGTTAAGAAAATCAATTTGACCAAAAAATGGAAATTTAAAGGTTTGGTTGGATTATTTTTCACAACTTTCAACGTGGATTATCTCAACAATGATGTGTCGATGAACTCAGTTCATTGTATGGCGATAAAACACCATCAAAAACCACAGTATATCGCTGGTATAGTGAATTCAATCGTGGTCGTAGTTCGGTCGCCGACGAATTCTATGAAGGTCTTCCAAAATCAGCTGTTGTGCCACAAAACATCAATGTAGTACGTGAACTGATAATGTAAGATTGTCATGTAACATATTGTGAGATAGAGGCATCCTTGCATATTAATTCCACTTCAATACATTCGATTTTGCATGAACCCTTAGTTGTAAAAAAATGTTCTCGTTGAATTCCCCATCATTTATCAATCGCTCAAAAAAAGGCTCGCTTCAAGTGGTGTAAGGAAATGGTTAAAAAGTTCGACCGTGGTGCTTCAAAAGACGTATAAATTCGTGACAGGTGACGAATCATAGATATATGCGTATGAGCCGGAAACAAAACAGCAACGCAACGACCGTGCGGGTATTCCAAGACGAGCTGTATCCAACAAAAGTTTCGTGGAAGAAGCACAGCAAAGCAAATGGTCGCCTGTTTCTTCAGCCGAATGGGTGATGTGGCCAATGTTCCGCTTGAGCAACGTAGAACGATCAATTCTGAGTGGACACGACCATTTGCTTGCCAGAAGCAACGTGTTATTTTGAGAAAGCTAAGTATGTAAAAATTATTTCATTGATATTGCAAAATGTATGAAGTCGGCAATTTACTAACTAATGATATGTATAAGAAATTATATATTTCGAAATAAAATATGGAAACATTCATCTTTCTAACGTACCTACACCGTAGGTTCTGGTAAATGACATGATTATATGGATTATATTACGCAGAAGCCAACTTCTGCATTTACGCCCTCGGTAGCGTGGCTCCGTTACAACAGTAGGTACATATATGGAATCCAATGAATATTTCACAGATGCTCAAATTGATTTCAGACAGAAACATGCTATAACCTTGACATTAAATCTTTCACAGCGAACGTATCAAAATGAAACACTCGTATCTATTCAACATAATTCAATATGTCAAAACTGTGTATCCAGTTTAATATTCATAAAATATGGAATGCCTCAGGGATCCATATAAAGTCCACTAATTTTTCTCATTTTATAAATGACATATTGAATGCCTCACATGACTGGGACTATGTACTTTATGCTGAAGATACAGTTATAATTCACGCAAATAACGACCTAAACTATCTTACCCAAACAGTCAAAAATTCGACTTATAAATGATTGGTTTTTAAGGTACAGGCTCCAAATAAATGATTCGAAAATAAAAAACATAGCATTCTCATTGAGAAATAAAGACGATCAATCCTATCGAGACTCTGAGAGTTCATCTGAACTATCATTTTTTTTTCACGTTTGAATAAGTTTTTTATTGGCAAATACAAAATTACATTTGGCTGTTAAAAAAAACACTTTATTCGATTCAATAATAGTAGTAGAACTTAACTATTATTAGTGTCATAGTGTGAGAATCTATTAAAAGGGGAATCACATCCTGACTTTTATGCAAAATAATTACTGGCTGAAAGAGTGTGAAGAAACCCTCATGAAATCATTATTTGATTCATACTATTTCTTCTTAAGTTATTCTCTCAAGGGGCTATAAGATCTATAGGAATACTTGTGCACCTGAATTACCGTGTTAGGAATCACACGTTAAAAGGTAAGACCTAGTTAGTCCTTAGCTCGCACACGTTTTACAACTTCTGAGAGTTGTCGTTGGTATGGGGGCGACAGCTCATTAACGGAAAAACAGATTTTAAACAGAACTGAGATGTATTTATCTTGGTTCCATACCACCAAAATACGAGGAACTTTGGAAAGATTTTCAAGGAACTAGGTATGAAGGTGGTTTTTAAAACAAGTCATACACTACAGAGCCTTTTGGAAAGTCCAAAAGACATAGTCGAGAATTCGTAAAAGTCTGGAATTTACGAAATTAAATGTAAGGACTGCGATGCAAGATATTATGGACAGACAAAAAGATCTATTAAAGTAAGATACCGTGTTAGGAATCACACGTTAAAAGATAAGACTTTGTTAGTCCTTAGCTCGCACAAGTTTCTCAACTTCTGAGAGTTGTCGTTCGAATGGGGGCGGCAGCTGATTAACGGAAAAACAGATTTTTAAACAGACAGACAGAAGATATAAGGAACACATAGCACACTTAAAATATGGAAGACCTGAAAAATCAGCAGTCGCCCATCATATTTTGCAACAAAATAGACTTCAGTTCATCAAGATTAGTTATACAAGTTAACAACAACAGGCAACTAGATGCCTATGAGAGTGTAGAAATAAGTAAACACAATAATATTATGAATAACGATGACGGACCTATACCAAAGAGCATACTATATAGCTTGTTAAAATAAAATAATATTGTCGGGTTTACTGATTACTACATAACACATTGCAAAAATAAATTTGGATAGGCAATATTGTGAAATTAATTTTTATATAGTTGAAAATTGTTTCATATAAACATATATTGTAAAATAATAGATAAGGCAAAATTGTAAAATTAATTTAGGTTGGTATACCTGTATGGGTGGTACGCCTGGATGATTTACCTGTATGGGATACCTATATAGCATAAATAGGGTTAGCTTCGCATTAGTTTCTAGTTTTAATCTTCCTCTTTGAAGATGATCACTTGGTGATCGAAACATGTGTCGAGGCGTTAAAAATAACGATTTGGTGTTGGGAAAAAAAACTCCAGTAATATTCATTACTAAACCAAAGGTTCCAAACAGTGCATCATAAGTATCAGTTTATACTTCATCCAAGACTCATTAGCCTCCTGTTCTAGGTAGGCAATGGTAATGACTCCCCGAGGATCATGACTATTCGCAATCCGTCAACCATACAACGTTGCAGAATCATCCTAACTTCAACTAAATATATTCTCTCGAAAAAATATCTGGTCGAAGTTAGGATTGAACTCCACTGCGCCAATTCACCGTTACAACCCCCCTTATACTCATTTTGATGAAATTCAATATTATTTGAATGTGTTGGTGGATGGGATTTTTTACATGATTCTATACTATGAAATGGGAGACCCGTGTCTCGCGTACAAAATTTCGACTTTGAACAAATGTTTTGATGGACTCGAATGTCCTTAATGGATTAAATAAGGGGCCGTCCATTAATCACGTGATGTTTTTTAGCATTTAATAAACCTCCTCCCCCTTCGTGATACGCGGTGAGGTTTAAGACTAACCCCCCTCTCCCACACCCAAAATCACGTGTAGTTTTCAGTACCTACAAAGAATCTTTAAATGTTTCTCCTTTCTTATACTCTGCAAATAGGTCTTTTATTCAGATCATCTACTTTAGACATTGTTTTATTGAAAAACCTTTGAGGTAACAGTGTATGCATGTATTCGGCGCCGAAATAACAATATAACTGGCAAGCCGATCCGGACGTTCGTTGTGGTGCGCGGCGCGCGAAGACTTCGTTCGTTGCCTTGCAACGGCGAGTCAAAGTCACATTACACGCAGCTTTTCGGTTTATCGCACGTTTCACGATAAAATAAATACGCGTGATATCTTACTACACCCCCCTCCCCCTGTGATATTTCGTGATTTTTGATAAACCCTCTCCCCCGTTTCAAGCCTCACGTGATCAATGGACGGCTCCTAAGTAAGGGCGATGACATCTCTCCTTAAGAAGACGCCAATTATGGGAGCGATCCCATGCATTTGTGGTTCAGTCTAGCACCACTAATGAGACCTATGGCGTGTCGAAGCAGCGCTGTCCGGTGTCAAATCCAGGAAGACACTTGAGAATTCTCTCTCTCTCTCTCTCGCTCTCATAGTCTTCTAACGAACGCACATCTAGTGGGCGG